TCTACAAGTACATCTCATCCATCTGCAACTTCCCCAACCACTCTTCCATCTTTAATAACTTCTCAAACATCTAATCCATCTGCAAATTTCTCTGCCACTACTCCATCTTCAATAACTTCTCCAACCTCCAATTCATCTGCAACTTCTCCAACCAGTCTTTCATCTACAAGTACATCTCATCCATCTGCAACTTCCCCAACCACTCTTCCATCTTTAATAACTTCTCAAACCTCTAATCAATCTGCAAATTTCTCACCCACTACTGCATCTTCAATAACTGCTCCAACCTCCAATTCATCTGCAGCTTCTCCAACCAGTCTTTCATCTACAAGTACATCTCATCCATCTGCAACTTCCCCAACCACTCTTCCATCTTTCATAACTTCTCAAACCTCTAATCCATCTGCAAATTTCTCACCCACTACTCCATCTTCAATAACTTCTCTAACCTCCAATTCATCTGCAACTTCTCCAACCATTCTTTCATCTATAAGTACCTCTCATCCATCTGCAAATTCCCCAACCACTTTTCTATCTTCAGCAATTTCTTCAACCTCCCATTCACCTGCAACTTCCCCAGGGACTCTTTCATCTTCAAATACTTCTCCAACTTTTCATCCACCTGCAAATTTCTTAGCCACTTTTCCATCTTCAGTAACTTCTTCAACGTCCAATTCATCTACCACTTCTCTATCCACTCATTCATCTACAAGTACCTCTCATCCATCTGCAACTTCCCCAAGCACTCTTCCATCTTTAATAGCTTCTCCAACCTCTCATCCATCTGTAACTTCTTTAAATAGTAATACGTCATCAGCAATTCCTCCAACCTCTTATCCATCTGTAACTTCTATAGTCAAACTTTCATCTGCAACAACCTCTCATTTATCTGCAACATCTCCCACCACATCTCCTTCTTCACAAGTATCTGCAAATTCTTCAACCATTCTTCTATCTGCAACAACCTCTCATCCATCTTCAACAACTTCTCCAAACTCCATTCCATCCACATCAATCTCTCCACCATCCCCCTCGCTTCCAACAACCTCCTCAAATTCCTCAAGACCTACAACATCTTCGCCATCACCTACATCTACCAAAACCCTTACAACATCACCTACATCCACAACAACCTCATCAAATACAACGGAAAATGCAACGCTTACCATTCATAATACCACTGCTCCAGATGCATCAACACCCAACAGATCCACTGAGTTGCCAGTAAACAGTTCCACCATGGTGCCCCCAATTATGACTTCCACGCCCAGATCTACGCTTACGTCTCCAGATGCTAACAACATCTTGGCCACAAAAAACGGTAAGAAAGTTACATACAGATAACCGTAGCATCCCCGCCACACTCTGCCAGCCCTGTCATGCTGTAGCA